CCTTTTAACACATAAAGCTAGAGCCAGTCTGAGACTGAGCAGTCAAGCTCAGTAGCTGGCCAACTGAATTGTAACCAATATAAGCTACAAGGCTCAGAAAGGGAGGGAGCACCTCTGTTTTCCCTCTCATTTGCTGAATTACAGATGATCACTGGACTGTGGCAGGATACTGAGGGAGGAAAAGAACAACACGCAGAGGAGCAGGTGAGGAGGTGCTGTAAGTGGCCATAATAGAGAGAATTCAAACGCGTCAGAGAGGTGGTGAAAGTCAGATAATGACTGGGAGATCTGGAAAGAGGAGATGAAAGGAGACTAAGCAAGAGGAAGAGGCATGAGAAAACAGTAAGGGAGAAAGTGAGAAAAATGAGAGAGAAGTCTAAGGAATAGGAAATTTGAGGAAAAAGGCATATTTCTTCTTCCCCTCTTCCCTCTCCCCCCACACATCCCTTTAGTGCACTCCTCCCTGCTACCTGTGAATGCTGTAACTAAAGAAGGCTCCCTCCTAACACAAGATGCTGGGCTCCCCCTCTCCTACAGCAGGACAAAAAAGGCTGACTGCACATTTATAACATCTCATCCCAGACTTGCCTACAGTGTTGAACCACCCCCTCCTCTGGCAAATCTCATCCATGAGAGCGTAGGGTTTGCAGTCAGTAATGGTACATGTTGCAGGAACAGCCCAGAAGCCTTACGCAGGGAAGCCACTTTTACAAAGAGGTACTGATACAAAGCACTTGCAGATTTGCACATGCCTTATGGAAAAGGAACACAGATACAGTGACTCCCTTTCCATGGTAAATTATCATTAAAAATGTTCAACAGAATATAAAGAAAGAAAATTAATTTCTTGGCAAGTTTCTTACATTTTCAGGAAATGTAGCAGGCAGCTGAGCTTTTGTTCTAGCTTTTACTGTGGAGGAACTCTTTTACCCACTGATGAAAATGTTTGCATATCTTCACACAGTGTTCTTATACCTGTAGATGCAGATTTCTTTCACACAGAATTGAATGGGTGGTTGCAACAAAATTAAGACTGGATAGGATAGGTGACCAGAAACCGGTCAAAAAGTAAGAACATACCAATGAAAGCACATTTATAAAGATTCAGCTGTCTGAATACACAGTGCCGAAAATATCTTTATTGTCTTTTCAGGGAAATGAGCCATCTAATGAAACCTAATAGGATATTTCATTATTATCCTTCAGACATCCCGCAAAGAAAAGTTACTTAAATATATTATGCATACATTTTATCTTTTTTTTTCAGTATCAAATAGCTGTAGCCAGCACGTGTTTTTTACAGAACTAAAGGCAAAACATTAAAAATATTATTTATTTTAGTTTTTGTTGTGGGGGGGGGGGGAAGGTCCAAACAGCTGTCATCTTAAATTAGTCAAGAACTACTTTCTGGCTATTTCACCTTAAAAATGAGCCTCAATGATTTGACCAATCATCTTGAATATAGTAATTGTGGAGGACAAGAAACATGCTGTTACTAGATTCTTATATTAACAAAAAATGCCTCAATTTTACGCTACCCTTCTTTTTAGATCTCTGCAGCACATGACTGGATTGATATTGTTCTTTTAATAAATAATGTGTCTGTATCATTATCATTCTGGCCAGTGCCTTCAGAACATATCCAGGAGACAGAGGAAGTATGCAAATTCAAAACACAGATTATTAAAAAGACCAAACTAATGACTCACACTTTCATTATGCAAAGAAAATAATATTTTAAATACTGTCAAATTTGATAGTGGCAAAAATGAAGCACACTGCCCTGCATTTACAGGAGAATGATATTTTTAAAACATGCCAGTCAACTTTCTGATGTTTAATTGGTGCCTGAAGTGATCAGAACAGGAGGTTCCTCAAAGGTTTGAGCTATTCCAGGACAACATCATTGGTGAAAGTTTTTGACAGTATATTGCCTTTCCTTAGAAGTTTTGTTTATGTTCATAATAAAAAGGAACTCTAAAGACTTCTTTTTGTACTTTGGGTTTTTTGCTTTTCTTTTCAGTGAGCATTGACAGGCATGCCTGACAGACTCCAATCGGTTTCAAAGCTGGATATGGACTGGGATACAAGTAGAGGCAGCAGAAAAATGATAATGAAAGTGAACCATTCAGTGTTCTGGTGACGCTGAAAAATTAGGACTGTTTACATAAGTCAGAACTTATTTGCATTTCCTGACATTTCTGGTCTCTTTTTCCCTCAATAGTGAGTTTATGTTATATAACAGATAGATTAATGAATAAAAAAGAAAAAAATAAACAAAGCATCCTGCCATCTCAGTTAGCGGTACCTGCAGTTTGGGCAAATCGCTTCCCTGCTCTTAACTCTGTTTCGAAAACAGATTCAGTGATATATGCATTCAGGACAAAGCTTTTAAAGAGCATCCAAAACTGAATGTTTAAATACTTGTTTGCACAGGTCCAGTGCATATTTTATACAGAGTATGGGCAGATTCAAATCTTGCATTTCTGAGTAAGCAGCATTCTTAAACTATTTGTGAGTGTACTTTCAGAAACCCTTCAGAACTTATCCCCCTTGTCTTAACTAGCATTATGAAGAAGCTTTAATAGATGTAATAGGCACACAAATAGTAGTTTCTAAATGACTCAGTTTCACAGTAGGCAGAACATATTGTCAAATTATTCTCCCATTTAGATACTCCTTCTGATTTCAAAATGAAATAGAAGTTATCAGAGTTAGAATTATATGTCTACTGACTACTGCTTTTAATTATTCTAAACATATCTGGAATTACTGTGTAGACTGATATTTATCAGTGCCAATACTTTCAATAGCAGGGAGGAGATCTCCTCCCCTGCCCAAGTCCCTGTTTTCCTGCAGGACAAGGGGAACAAATCACACAAACTCCCTCTAAGTGCACAAGTCACAGAGACAAAACGTCTTTCACCATATTATGGATAAGCTGAAATAGCTCTGCTGCCGATTCCTCCTCTCCATGACAGTAGAGAGGGAAGGTATTAAATATACTAGCAGTTTAGACAGCCCAGGAGGTATTCCAACCTACATGAGATGACGTTCAGCAGCACATCAAGCTTGCTTTACCTCCAGGCATAGGACCTAAGTGCTGCACTCACTGACTCTGCCCCAGACCCCGCAGGCATTTGCCCACCTGTTTCCTTGTAGCAGCACTTGTACCAGTGCTGCCCCTCGCCCTCACAGCCTCACTGAGCCTTGGAAGAGTCCAAACTTTTTTATTTTGGCATTTTAAAGCAAAAGAAGGCACAGGAAGAACTTGTAAAGAAATCCATTTTCACCACCGTGCTGGCTGCAACTTAGGGCAACGGGAGCAGAGATTTTACCAAGCTTTCCTCTGCAGCATTGCAATGGAGAAAGCGCAACACCAGACTCGTGAAGTCAAATTAAACAAAGTACCATTAAAAACTTAGCTGCTGAGACAATATTAGATCAAAGCCGACCAAAGGAAAACACAGTCATGAAAGAAGTAATGGCATTAATTTAACTAAGTAATTCCTGAACGCTACAGCCTGAATAATAGGAAAAAATCTCCTTATAAAATCCTCTCTCCTATTTCATTGGCACTGTAACACACTGGAAGTTTGGCAGAAAACACAGTAAAGATACTGTAACTCTATTAATTAACAGGGCCTGTGTATACGGAAGACTATATATAAGCAAAAAGACTAATGGCACAACATGGAAATGGAAAACAGGTGGTTCTGAGATTACATGTATCCAGCTTTCATAAACTGCAATAGCATTAGCTATGAAGATGCAGAATGCAACTCACTGGACTGAAATGAGAACTCTGCTCTGATTTATATCTGCTCTAATTTGGGTCAGCAGGAAACTGGCTCCAGATTTCCCCTGAGCCATTGAGGGTAGGGCGCTGCTCACCTCCTCACCTCTGAACAACACTTGGACACATCTGAGGTGCTATGGCTGAACGCTTAAGATCAGCAGTGGAGATTTCATAAACAAACATCAAAGTAAATATTTTACCAGGCATATGTAAGTACTTGTTAAGATTTATATCATATCTTCAGTGTCCTTGACATTTTACAACAGTGTTTATTTCCTTGCTTGCTAATTCACAGAATTGGATAATCTACAAGGAATTTACACATTAGAAATGAGCAAGATTCTTGGGCATAACTTCATAAATATGAGTAGCACAACAACGTTCTAATATAAACATACACAATGCTAAGTAGGAATAAAGCATTTCCTAAGGGCAGAGGAGGTCCTGTATGCCACTGAATAAGCGTTGTGTGACAACCTGCAGGGAACTCAATGAAGGCAAAAGGACCCAGTTTGTCCTGTGAAGCAGCGCTCTGCGCTGCCTCTCCGGGGTTAACGCACAGAGGAAAAAGGCTGGGAATTAGGTCAGTGAATCAATGACCCTCCAGTTGTATCAGCCCAGCACTCTTGCAGGGGAGGGGAGATAAAACAATTCCAAGGCTAAAACAGCTCTACGAAGAGAGTGGGATCTAGTCCACAAATGTGGACTCCTTTTTTTCCAATGAAGAAAAAAACCATGAGTAGTCTGTGTATTGTGAACATTTATAAAGTCCAACATGTGGCTTGTATTCACAGTTACTAGTGCTCACACGTAAGATTACAATGAAAATAAATCCCATTATAATGAATAATTCTATTTTCACCTAGTTACTAATGGGACATAAAAATCATTCTGAGACATCATTTCATAGAGACACCTAATGAAATAGTTTCCAACAAAAATCTGTAAAAATTAAACTGGGGGTTTAAAGATTCCTCTGTAATGCGAGGGAGTAGCTGTGAACAGTTTTGGAGAAGGCACACACTGTAACCAGATGCAGGCTTTTGTTACTCAGTTAAGGATGTCAGAGGTGTGTGCTTTTTTCCCTGACTCATCCTTTTCCCTAGTGGATATTCTGACCCTTAGTCCTGGCAAATCCAGCAGTACCAAAAAGTTCTCTCTGGTACCTCATTAATCACTCCCCTGCCATGTGCTATCTTACCTGCAGATGTAATTCTTCTTGCAGGATTCTTGTAAATTCAGGCAGTTTGGTTTCTCCCTGTCCTCATATGAACACACAGGAACAATAGTCTGCCGTCTCCTTTCTGTACAGGCTACGTCTCGACAGGAGCAGAAGAGCATCCCATAGCTGTGCTTTGGGGGAACTTTGTCAAAAAATAGCCGGAGGGCCTTATGACATTTCCGCTTGTTACAGATTTCATTAGACGTGCTGCTGGTGCAGGGGGTTATGTAAGCAGATCTGAACCTCTTGCAGGTATCATTTAGGTTACAAGCTTTTGCTGCATCCAAGCAATTGTTCCCCTTTGAAAGTACTGGCTCCACTAGAAAAAACAACACAACAGCAGTAAGAATTGCGTCACATTTATATTGTGTTTTGATGTTTGTGTTTATTTCACTGTTAATGAGATCCTGATTATATATTTGTTACATACAAAACTTTCAGTGCCAGAAACCGTGACCAGTCCTTATGTTTCTCAGGGTAATGGTTTAACGAGTGAAAAAGAGCACAGGCATGTGTTAAGGTCAGAATGCTGGCAAATAAATGACGATTACACAGGGCAGACTGTACTTCATCTTCTTTGTAGCAGACATGCAGGATGAATATTGGGTAAGACTTGGCCTCACAAAAAAGCTATTAAAACCGCTGGTAAATTGGAAGGGATACGTTTGGCCCATCTGACAAAAACAGTGAGAAGGTGGGCTCCTAACTCCGGTTTTGTAAAGCTCTGACGTTTTTTATTGTTTCCTTGAACAGTACATATGACGTTCAGCGTCTACACCAGGTAACAACATTTAAATGTAATTCATGTACTCTGCAGACTGTAAAAGCCACATGCCTGTTACTACAATTTTTGACATATAAAAACAGCCCACCCAGACAGAAAGGAAAGCAGGTGCAGCCCCGTGACTGTAAGCTCCCACAAGGCCTGTAAGCTCCATGCTTAGTTACAGACATTGTTATAAGATCTATAGATGCCACCTGAGCCCGGGAAGTTTTATGAAGTTTACAAGCTTTGAAAAAGCTGACGTATCTATCACAAGTGGCTGTGAAAGAAACATTTTAAAACAAGGAGTATGTCTCTCTCACACACGCACATGCACACGCTACAAGAAGTTACAGAAAAAATTAAACTCAGATAAAAGTTAAGACTATAATTACACATTTAATTTTGCAATACGTTATCCAGATATTAAAACCCAATATATGCTTTCCTTGAAAATGAAGGCAACTGGCATTAGAATGCAAAATTCAATTAAGAATAATCGTAATGCTGCTTTGGATATTAGGAACGCCAACATCACAGATACGAGAAAATACATTAACTTCCCACTGTTACAGAATTTGGAAGTTGAACAAAACATTTTGCGAATATCTAAAACTCTGCAGCAACCTCCTACGGGGGATGGCCAAAGATAAACATCTCAAACGATCTAAAAAGCTCTAAATTCCTCTTAAAAAAAGATTTTTCTTCTAGATCTTCCACCTTTTCCCAAAAACTAAGCCCAAGGCCCTTCTACAACTCAGTGCCACTCCTCTCCATTCTCCTACTACTCTGCCTCCCATTCCCAGATCAGGACATCAACCTTTTCTCTTTTTCCACGGCAGTAAAAGATGATGTAGCTTGGCTGACATGGTGCACCAAGGTACTGCATTTGCTTGAACTGACTGTGCCCGAGACAGTCCTTGGATGCTAGCACACACTTCACCTTATACAAATATATCACCTGCTACTATCCCATGTATCTTACATATCCAGAAATAATGCAATGCATAAGTTGCATTAGGTTTTTCATGCTAGCGATATGCTGTAACTACATTCAGTGGGTTCATACATTTAACCTTTGTCCATTTAACATTCATACTCCAAGCCCTTCCCAATCCCAGTTTCATGCACAATAAACTGCAAATTTTTGCTTCTTATCTTCACAAATTACAAAATTATAAACATGCAACATTTGACTATAAATTAACAGAGCCAAGCATTTCTTATAATAGCAGCCTACCGCAGTTTAAGCAACACCAGATGCAGAAGAGATGAGATATCCAAAATACAACCCTCTCATAAAATTGTAACATTTTTATATAAAATGTTGTATTACATTAGCATACAACTATAATCTTAACTATGAACTCTCAAGGTTTTTTTTATACAGTATATAGAATTATATGTTTAGTACAAATATAATTACTGTGTAATCTGCAGGGCATATAATTATGCAATATATGAATAGTACATGCTAATTACTATGTGATTGCAGAGTAATTATATGGTTATTTGTGCCTGGGAGTCAACTGCTGAATTCCACTCTTTAAAACAAGATTCCATGGAAGAGCTCTGAATGGCGCATTTCAATACGAACAGACATGAGCTTACTGTATGATGTATTATAAAGCATTCTTTAAAAGAAAACCCAAGATGTAATAAAGCACCTCTTTGCTGATAATCATATACATGTTTTCCATTAAGGGTCCAAAATATAGTAAGTTCTGATATAGAATTAAAAAGCACTGTGAATATGAACACCTCAAAAATCAAAAGAGACAGGTTAATCAATCTTCTTTAAAAATAGAGCACAAGACAATTCACTGACCACACAAACAGCAGTGAAAGTTACTTTGGATGAAAGTTGAATTAGGTGCAAATTTTTCATAAACAACAGTTATACTCATTCATATCTTTCATACAATTTACATCTACCCAAGACTCGCACTCCTCTACATGTCAACTCTGAACATGGACCAGGTCTTTTGGTGTTTGGTTTGTTTTTTTTTCCCTAGAACTACCCCTGGCTGTAACTTGCCACTTGCCTTTTCTATTTTGATACATATGTCTCTAGCTATTGTTTCTGGCATATTTATCATCACATTATACAAATTACTTCTACCTTTTAAAACCAAGACTAACATACAGCACGTGAGAGATATGCATCAACTGCATTTGAATTAAACAAGACTGTCTAAACCAACCCTTCTCATTAATGCCAGCTTCTCCCAAGCTTTTAAATCATGTTTTAATGCAAAATTTACAATCCAGAACACACTTTATGCTTTATTTGTATTGCAAAAGTACAATATAATTATTCCTAAGTCCTGTGGTAACTACAAACAGTTAACAAGACAGAGTGTTTCTGAGGATTACTTACGCAGCAGTAATACGTAAGGTCAAAATTTCACTCAGCTTCTGTTCTGTAAAGCTTAAATTATTAAGACAGGCAGGAGTTTGGCTCTTACTAGGTACTGACTACGTTAAGAGCAAATGGATCTAATCCAGAGCTACTTTTCCTGCCAGCATCCTTTGGGAAAGGTCTGTGTAAGGAGATCCTTTTTCAGTTCCCCCCTCTCTTGGGGCACTTCGATGTGGATTGAGGGTGGTCAGAGCAGCAGCTTGGGACAAGTAACGATTCCTTCCCACTACCATTTCCCCACCCAGAGCTTCCTCTCTCCCAAGTCCGCTTTGCCTTGGGCCCATTCTGGAAATCTCTGCCAAACCATGCAGCTCTCCGCTCCTGCCAAATCACTGCAGACTCCGAGGTAAATTACTTCCAGGCAGGTGATAAGTGATGCCTCACGCCTGTGTGCGAGACACTGGTTCCCACCCACGGCAAGGGGCCCAGCAGAGCAGATCTGCAAACACCAGGATGCTGCCTCCCAGCAGAAGTCACCAGCAGCTGCGAGCTGCTTCGCCGCCCTGCGTGCTACCCTGATGCAGTGCAGGCAGAGTCATGGCAGAACGCAGCCAGAGCCAGGAGCTGCTGCCTTGGTGGGAAAGCAGCAGCTCCCAACATCCATAGAGTTAGGATGCCTAAAAACGTCCTCCTATCAGGCAGTTTGCTGTACACTATGTGCAAAAACTCTGGGGCAGCAATAATTGGCTTACTTGTACTAACTTACTTCTACATGGGTCACCGGCTCACAGCTCTTCTACTGCACATGTAACACGTGCATGCAAGGTGAGATGTTTTTCTGATAAATTTTACTGATGAAAAAAGAGGCCTTGTATTATAGTGTAAAGTGTTACCACGTTGATATTTGTTCTCTCCTGAACGCCCCCTACCCTGGCCCAACATTGTTACAGCTGCAACAGTTCTGGACTCAAGCTCCCATACGACAGCAGAAAGAAGCCGGCCAAATGCTCCGGTCTTTTATCCAGAGATATTCCTAAAGTTTTAATAGGGCTTCCTCTGCCCTGTGTGATCTTCTTTATGCTTCACCCTCTTTCACAGTCTCTTCACCTTAATCTTTCATCTTTCTTGCATTTCCATTTCTATTTCGTTTCTGCACCTACAGAGCCTTTGGCTGTCTCCTCAACTCCTGTTAACTCCACAGTGCACAAGAAGGGATTCTCAGAGGATATTGGTAGCTTCTTATTCGTGTTCCCACTAGATGGAAGGAGTGAAAGGGCTATTACTTGTTCTATAAGATTCTTATTAAACAGCAAAATGGACATGTAATTTTCAATTTCCTTACAGTACATAAAAAGCAATTTACTGAGGTTGCCATTAAAATTACAATTACTATTTGCAAGTAATTAGCATTTTTTCTAGCGTCTTTAGTGAAGGGAATGCTGTAAAGAGAGCAGTAAATGTTAATGTGATGGAAGGCAAAATTACGAAGTGATAGAGGTGACCACACGGGTATGGGCCTTCTTCAATGCAGGTGCAGAATATGGCATATAGGAACAAAAAAATGACCAGAATAAAGAGGAGAACCACAATCCCACTTTAACAGAAGTGCTGCTATGGGGTTCACCAAAATACTTCTGCTTTGTAAGAAGAACAGTTTAAAAAAATAAGGAAAGCATGGGAAATATTGTCATCTGCATCTTAATGGATTCAAATAAACTACCATTTTCCTGGACAAATTATTTCTAATCCCAAATGGCAGAGAAAAAACAAGTCATCCCTGAGAAATCATGAGACTGATGCATATACATGTTCATGTCATCCTGAGGTTCTACATGTCTTCTACTCAGCCTTTAGAGAAGTCAGGCATACTTCAAACCTTTTCCATAATCATGATAAGCAGGTGCTTTACTTTTTTAAATTAAAGCTAATACATTATCAGCTATACCCAGGGCTTTCAGAGTACTACCAAATACAACAATAGGCATGTTGAAATTACAATAGATGGCAGCAGTAGGTACACCAGGTGACAAGGATGTTGAGACTGACTCCTGTGTGCAGAAGAGCACACCCAGGGCTAGAGCAACAAAAGGACCTAAACCAAAACTGCCTAAACTGAGACTTTAGGTTCCTGAGACCAAAGCTGGAACGTTTTACATTCCTGGTCAGTCCTCTCCAGTCCTGGGCATGCAAGTCT